TTTTTTTTTTTTTTTTTTTTTGGTTTGTTTGTTTGCCAAAAATCATCCTTTGATAACTGGTAGGTGATGTGCAGTTGCTAGGTAACAGTGAGGGCAGGCCTTGTTGCCAGATTTCCCTCTACCGGAGGGTTAAGGCGTTGCTAAGCAAATCCTGGCTCTAAAGTATCAGGGACCCCCTAGGCTGATTTAGGTCTGGAGTGTTGCTCAATCGATGCTGCTCCTGACCAGAGTGCTCCCTTTCTAGGCTTTTGATGGCTTCGCTGCCCTGGGCGTGTCTCGGTTGCTGGAGCCAGCGGACATGGTGCTTCTGTCCGTACCTGACAAGCTCATCGTCATGACGTACCTGTGCCAGATCCGAGCTTTCTGTACCGGGCAGGAGCTGCAGCTGGTGCAGCTGGAGGGCAGTGGTGGCCCTGGCACTTACCGCGTGGGCAACGCCCAGCCTAGCTTGCCCGACGGCCTGGATGCAGGCGACCTGGCACAGAGGCTACGCGAGCATGGGGCTGAAGCGCCCACAGAGCCCAAGGAGGCTGTGAACCGCGGGGCTGGAGCGGTGCCCAAAGTGGCCTCTAGGGACTCGGGCCTGGGCTGTGCCTCCAAGGATGGGGAGGCTGAGGCTGCCCAGGAGGCAGTTCCCCCAGAGGCTCCCTCCGACGGCCCCAGAGCCCGGTCGTCCACGTCCCCTGTGGCCCCCACAGAGGGGCTGGTAAACGGAGTGGGGGTGCCAGGTGGTGTGAGTGGTGTGAGACTGAGACGGTCCTCGGTCAGTGGGGAGGCCGGACCGGTACCTCCACCCCGCGCACATGGCTCTTTCTCCCACGTGCGTGACGCTGATTTGCTAAAGAAGAGGAGATCCAGGCTACGGAATAGCAACTCCTTTTCTGTGGACGACCCGGACTCTGGAGCAGCAGTAGGAGCAGGAGCTGCAGGAGCTGGGGCTGTGGTGAGTACCCCTACCCTGTTGCAGCTTAGGATACTGGGGAGCTTTCAGAGAAGGGTACTGAATGGTCCCAATGCCAGGGCTGGTGCAGGAACGGCAGCTTCAGAGAAGTCGCTTCGCTGGATGCTGGGATGTACTTTGATCAGATGGATCCTGGTGCTGTGGAAGGGTCCCCTGGTATGGCACTGAGCTTCCTGTCAGGGGACAAAGCCCACAGAACACCTAGACTGTGCCGCCAGTTTTGTATATGTGAGCGGTGTCTAACTTTTGATACCCAGTTTGTAGAATCTACATGGGCTGTGGTAGGAAGTACCCAGAAGGCTCCAAGTTCGGCACCAGCTCTTTGGGACTTTCTTTCTTCTCAGTGGGTGGCCTTGGGTATCACCTAGCAACCACCTTGCCCCATAGCTAGAGGAAGGGAAATGTCCTCTAGTGGCCCCTGTAGCTCCTCCCAGCCTCCAGATTCCGTCTTGAATTTTTAACCCCTGAGGCTTAATGGGAGTTAGGAGGTGTAGGACTTCTTGCCTGGGAGAGTATCTCCATCCCTATGCCCAGAGGGCTCTCTCTCTCTCTCTCTCTCTCTCCATCTCTCCTCCCCCCAACACCTCTCCATGTGCTAAAGGAGAGATGGCGCTATAGGAAGCTCAGAGACTCAAGATGAACTCTGGCCACAGGCTTTCAATCTGAGGGGGACAGCAGAAGGGGCCATTGCACACCTGCAACTGCCCAGGGATGGTCCAACGGACATTTTTTCCTGGTGAAAAGTAGAGGACTAAGTAAATAACTCAGTGACAGAGCATTTGCCTAGGCTCCTGGGTTCAAACCCCAGGTTCACTCTATCACAACAAAATGCTGGGTGGGGTGGTGGATGCCTGTAATCCTAGCACTTGGGAGGTAGAAGCAGAAAAAAATCAGGTTCAAGCCATTTCAAAACAAACCATGACAGGGCTGGGGGTGTGGCTTAGTGGGTAAAGGGTTTACTACTGCACATGCATGAGGACCTCAGTTTGGATCCCCAGCCCCATGTAAAAAGCCTGTATCAATCTGTGTGTGATGGCATGCGCCTGTAATCTCAGTACCGGGAGGCGGAGACAGGAGGTTCCCTAGGACTTGCTGGCTACCCAGTGTAGCTAATTAGTGAGCTCTAGGTTCATTGAGAGATACTGTCTCAAAAGATAAGGTGGAGGACTGATGGCTTATCAGATAAAGGTTCTTGTCACCAAGCCTGATAACCTGAGCTCTATCCCTGGGGTCCATATGATGGAAGGAGAGAACCAATTCACACACGTGTCCTCTAACCTCACACATGTGCTGTGGCCCACAGTCTACTCCCTAATACAGAAATAAATCTAAAAAAAAGGAAAAGAAAACACAGTGGTGTGATAAAGGAAGACAGCAATTATCTGGCCTCCACACACACACAAACAGGCAAACACACCCTCATACACATGCACACGCAAACATACAACATACACATATACAGAACAAACAAAAAAATAGCACAAGAGGGGAAAAAAGGAAAACGGGAAAGCATGGTTCTCAAATGAGGAGACCCACACAAGCAAAAAAGTGGCATCAAGGACATCCAGTCCTCCTTTAGGTAACTGACAGTCATCTCCATGAAGTCCCCAGCTGGTAGGCAGTGAGTGAGGCCTGAGAATAGGAGCCCTGAGGGAAGGTTCAGAGACGTGTGAACCTGGGGATGAGAAGCCGAGAGACGTTCCCTGCAGGGAAGGGGGGGGGTAGGACTTCTAGCCCAGCTGGCTAAAGTAGGTCGGTGGCTCTTTAAGTCACAAAGGGGAGGATTCAGCAGTCACCCTCTGGGGTTGAGTCCCAGCGCCTGGTCTTTCCAAGCCAAGCCCTCCTCCTGCCCTTGCTTCACAAGAGATATTTGACCCATGAGACCAGCGGAGGCTCTCCCATTGGTTAACTTTTGCCCCTACTCTTTTGGGAGGGTGTTTAGCCTCTCTACCCTTGGAAGCTCCCCATGGCCTGGAATAGGTTGAAGTCAGGCACCTCGAGGCATGAGAAACATGGCTGCTTTTAGGCAGCCCATCAAAGAAAGTATAAAAAGAGGAATTGGGGTCAGACCTGAGGAGGAAGCTTAGAGTTCCCCTCAGGGCTGGTGTGAGCAAGCCCAAATGCCTCTGACATTTGCGTCCCACCTCCCATTCTGCCTGCTTTGCCAGGTGGGCCATCCCCACGATTCCTTTGCTCCCCACGGTGCCCTTTACAGGAAGCCACGATTTCTGCCCTTTAAGGGTGGGAATAGTGAAGTTCAGGGAGATGAAGAGGCCAAGGGAGGTACTGCTGCTGGGAACTTGGGTTCTGAGCTTGTGGTACTAATTGGCGCCCTCTGCTGGGGTCCACACAGTTGACACCCCTACTTCCCCTACCCCACCTGGGGCAGAATGCCTCGACATTTGCGTCCCACTCCCATTCTGCCTGCTTTGCCAGGTGGGCCACCCCCACGATTCCTTTGCTCCCCACGGTGCCCTTTACAGGAAGCCACGAT